AATGTGGTTTCTAAGTTCAGCATTCAGGATGATCATTGATCTGTCAGTATCCTTCTGCAAATGGACCACAGCATACACGAACATGCATAACATTCTATAATTCACATGTTAGGTTGCTGGCTGCTGTGGCCCACCACTCCATTTGAAGTTTTCAAGTTCAGAAACCGGTTTCTAACATGAAAGTTGGTAGGTTACCATTGGCATTTTGCTTTTTCCATGCAGAAAGGACTTTGAATTTCAAATGCAAGCCTTCTAAGAGTAATCAAAATAAGATTTTTAAAAAATTCGAGGTAGAAGTGAGAGCAGATAAACTTTCATCTTAGTCTAGAAGTTATGTTATGTGATTCCGTATTGCTGAAGAAAGATAAATGTCATATGTCTTGAGAAGCCGCCAAGAGATATGCCAGCACATAGCTTCTGTAACCTTTACATATGCTTCAGTGAAAGCATGTGGGGAATTTAAATGAAACTTCATGCTGCCTAAGTAATCCAGCCTCATACTGCAAACTGGGATAGGCAGGGGCAAATGGTGACTGTCACTGCTGAAATTATTTTTCAAAAATACAACCAATTTCACATTAATGGAAATCAAGACTTTTCACTGAAAATTTAAATTAACAAATATATACTGAGAAGTCTGCTGTGTTCAAGATTAAACAAACACACAGATTATACTAGGTACTTCATCTGTAGAGATATTTGCTTCCTTGTTTGCATCTGATAGGACCCAAAAATGAGTTCATCTGACATGGAATTCTGCCTTCTACGTTTGTTCTACAATAACTAGAAAAAGCTGTACCTTCTTGGTAATGAGATGAGTGGCAATTAAGCATAACTATTCTCGTTTACATTTTTAAGAACCACTCCAGTTAATTTTTAAAATGTTGTTGAGTGTTTGGAAAGTTTTAGGACTAATGCTTCCAAAAGTAATTTTTCCGCTTTTGGAAATGCCCCTATATGGTAATACTTTGGTGTGTGGTAATACCGGTGAGGTTCAATTTCAGAAAAGCCTCCGAGTATGTAGCATATTTTTATGAGTGTTCACAAGCACTGCTGATAGCCAAAGAAGCCAGGGGGTTGGTAGAGCTGGCAGATTAAGCAGCAGACGAACTGGACTTGCAGATACAAGAGCATGACTAATCCAGAAATGACATTACATTCATGTGGCTGTCTGAGATCAGAAGAACATTGTGTAATTTGAAAATGTTCAGTATGAATAAAAGCTATGATAAACCTACTATGACTTGATTATTCAGTGATATACCTCAGACTACATCATTTAGGACTCAGGTTTTACATTATAAACTGTATGCTTTAAAAATTCTTTTTGTTTTTAAAAACTATTTATCAAAGTTTATTATGTTGCTGTATGTAAAGAGTAGGCATTGTTGTTCTGATTATGCTGTTTCTGATTTTTACCCCTTGCATCTTTTTCCAGAGATTTTTTTTACTGTAACAGGAATAGGAAAAGACAATCAATGTGCATTTTCAGGTGGCCCTGAATAGATCATCTGAATAGAGCAGAAGGGAAAGTGGAATTAGAGCAACATAGAAATAAAAGCCAAACTTAATTAATAGTTGGGCAGTGTTTTGATTTTTTGTGGATCTTTGAGTTTAAAAGGCTGCCTACCCTCTCTGGAATTCATACAATAGGATTACAGATATTACAGTTTCTGATTTTAGATCAGCCAACAAGAATTTGTATGCATTTCTTTTGCCTCAGTCCGTCGGTCCATCTGCTCAGTCATTCTGCTAGCCAGCAAACAATGTACTGAGGCCCAGGTAAATCCAAGTTAACATTGACCAATACTGAGGTTATAAAAGCAAAACAGTTACTGTTTTTAAGGAACACGGAGTCCATGTAGGTTAGGTATTTACTCCCTTTCCCAGGATTTAAGGTGATAGTATAAGGACATAATCAGATGCTGAGTGATTTCAGTCCTTTTAATAAAGTCAAATTTGCCTCTTTCTTTTAGTTATTTGAAAGGGTTCATGGGGAAGAGAGAGGCATCATCTTCATCACCTTCCACCCAGTTTGAGTCTCTGATTTCTTGCTGAGCTTACTTGACTACGCTCTGAGGATTGTGGATGCCTTTTCAGGTTACGGCTCACATAGAAAATGATGATATTTTTATGCCACATCAAGGTAAATGGACAAGGCAATTTGTATCCAGATACCATCCTCAGGGGTTCTGCGCCCCCACCTTGTGTGGTATCTAGAAGGTTAAGCAGAAGCAGTATCTCTGCACACCTGTGATAGGTCTGTAGCGCATCAGTGCACTGTCAGGTGCATTACAACCTGTACGGCTGCACATCAATCCCAGGTTGTGCCTTATTTGCTGAACCAGGGCCCCCCTAATTTTATTTTTATGACCAGTTTGGGCATGTTAAATATAAGGTCTACATGATTTGTTTTAGTAAGAGAATATATAGAGTTTACAGCATTCCAAGGAAAATTATTGGAGGTAAAAAATACTACAGGTTATAGGTTGGAGACAGCTTTTTATAATGAAAATAGACTAGCTCAGGAATTAGTAGTCCTAGACTCCTGACTTGGTCATTTTTGGAAAATCACTTCTCTCTGAACCTTGATTTCCTTATCTTTAAAATGAGAGGGACTGAATAAGATGAACTTTAAGCTACCCTCTAGCTCTAATATGCCATCATTTTATACTGCCTATAAGTCTTTGCTGTTGAGTCAACTGCTTTGCACTGTTTGGTGTGTGCTAGGCACTTAGTAAAGGATTTTCCTGGACACCCTAAGGCGAGCTTCATGGGGTTCTGAGGTCTAAGGTTACTGCTTAGATGATAAAGGAATTTAAATCAAACTAAGATGCTTAGTGAAAAGAGAATAGACACTGAAGACAGTGTCTAAAAGGATTGAATCGAGCTGTAATAACTTAAAGGCCTTCAGTGTTTTTTAAATGTACTCAGATGGTAGGCTTTGCAGTTCAGAATCTTCCAGCTAGCTACATACCTCAGTCAAAGCTGGCAACCTTAACCTCTTAGGATAAATGTTTCTAACTTGCACTTCTAGAAATACTTATTGCAGGAACATCAACTATGTAAGCATATATATAAAAGTCAAATCTTGATTACTCAACTTGGAAGAAAAGTTAGTCTTAAGAATCCCGTTAGGAACTTCCTCTCTTTTTTCATAGGTATCTAAGCCCTTTCTGTCTGGCATGTGTTGGGTCGATGAGGCTGCCTAGCTGGAGAGCAGCAAAGACGACCGGTGGTAATGCCAGATAATCAAGGATTGGTTGCATTATGGTGATAGTCGTTTGCCCTGATTATAGACTTAAATGGTAGCATCTGTTTATTCCATGAATGTTTTATTATTTATTTACCCTGTGTCAGACGTTGTTTAGGAGCTAGAAATTCAAACCTGAGAGGTTCCTACTGTAGTCAAACTCAGACAGACAGATGGACATATATACATGATAGTATCAGTTTAAGAAGTTTTAATAAACATATTAGTAACTAATTTGTTATGTTCAAAACACATAAATTCTCCTGTCCTTACTTCCTGTTTTCCATTAACAAAAAAAAGTTGTGTTAGATACATTTAAAAAGAACAAACCTAAATCATTTATCCACATATCAAAAAATACTTCTAAGTACATGAAAATTCACCCAGTAATGTATCCTTAAGGACCATGATGTTTCATATCCACACACACAACAGGCTACATATGCACATACATACATATTATGTACATAATACATAATGTACATGTATGTATAATATTTACTTGTATATGCTCAAAAAGGATACTTGAACCGTAGGGTAAATAAACAAAAGTCCAGAGTTTGTCAGGGCATGTATGTGTTTGTGAGTATGTGTGGGGGAGATTAGGAAGGAAAGAAGGGAGAGAGGTAGAAAGACAAGGAAGAGAAAGAAGGGAAAAAATACTCAGTCTTAGAAGAAAACACAGTAGTTAGTAAATTTTAACTCACCTCCCACTACCCCATCTATATCTTTCCTATATTCAAAGGAAACTAATGTACCATTATTCATTCCATCAACTGATATGTCATTGGAATTAAGTTGATCACTCCCCCAAATCAAACGAAGTGAAAAACAGAATAATTTCAGTTTCAAATATATCTATAGATGTTATAAGTGGTACTTATGTACTCCAACAACTGTGATAAAGAAAACTTGCTGAAAGTTCTTCCAAAGCAGAAAAAAAATTAACATCTCAGGGAATTTTTTTCCTTTACTGGCCAGAAATTCATTCCAAGAAGTACCAGCCTGTCTCATTTCAAAATGCTTCCCTTGCCAAGGAAGCGGAAGCGGTTGTATTCTTTCCCACCAAACTGGGTGAAGTATAATTATCCTACCTCATGTGGGACAATGAAGCAGCAAACATCTGCTATACTGAATCAAAACCCACGAATGAAGCTATACCAAACTCTGAATCATACCTGGACTCAGATTAAAGGATTTGTGTTGTGTTTACCTTTGTCTTTATTTTCCTTTTAATTTAAAATATGGATTTGTTAGCTCTGGCTCCATGTTCTAACTAAAGGGAAATATATGGAACACATTTGTTGACTCCTATTTAATATTTAAAAATCCCAGCTTTAGGGCAAATGGACAGTAATTGTTAATAACAGTTTTTCTGTTTGATTTGTTATCATTTCACAGTTTTATTTTGGTTTTTTTTTTTACAAAAAAAAGGATGTTACAGTTAAGAAAATTTAGAACTGTGCAATCGGAGATGTGAGATCCTTTAGTTATTTTCTTCTGCTATACTGACAATAATAGAGGAGTGGAAAATGGTATTTTAAACTTGATTTCCAAAAGAAGCAAGCTTCAAAACTACTGTTACTTATAATTTTATGTGTCATGGCATTTTTGGTAGTACTAATCAGTTCACCTAGAGAAAAGAAAGGAAAATGGAACTTCAATTGTCATTTTTAGCTTTGAAATCATATAATAGTCTATTTGTTTTAAAAAAATATTTTTGTGCTTTTTTATTCTTATCTATTAGAGAGCAGAAAGACAAACTCGAGTTATGGATTCAGCTCAATATGCAGAATTCTGTGAAAGTCGACAATTAAGTTTCTGTAAGTAATCATTTAACTTGCTTCATTATATGTTTAAGAGATTATGTGTTACAGATATAGTAAAGTATGACACAACCCCTGTTCCTTAGAAATTGGTGAATTTAATATATGCATAGTTATAACTGCTACAGAAACAGTCTCTGCATTGTTGGCGAGCCTATAAAAGATTTTACCCTGCTCTGCTGTTTTGCAGTTAATAGTAGTAAGGGTTTTAAAGGGATGTAGGTAATACACAGACAGCCATGTTAATTAATCACATAACTTTTAGTCAGAAAAATTCCATTTTTCTTAATATTCCCATTTTAATTTCTTTTCTAGTTTCTTAGTCATATTTATACTAGCTGGTATTGTAGATTGTGCTTGACCCATAATGGACCCTCTTGGTAAATCATGACATTTAAAAGCCCCTAATATGTATTAATAAGTACCAAATGTTTCATTTATTTATGCATACTCATATTACCACAGAGATACGTATCAAGAATCTCTTCCATCTTGTCTGTAACTGGTCGTGAAATTCATTCATCCATGCTCGTGTAACGCTAATGACCTAGTGGTAAAATTAGTGCTGTCCCGTCACTGCACGCAGGCTTACTAAAAGTACAGTCAGGCTCACGATAAATAGTGGACCCAATTGTGTAGCAAAACATCCTTCCAGCACCAGTTTGGTGATGACTAAGACTCTTGGGGTAAAGGTCAAAGAGTAAGTGTGATGAAAAGTCCAGTTAAAGATCTGACAAAGGAGCACATGACCCCATATGAGGAATTATGCACACAATGGTGTCTTTAAACGAAAAGCTATTATGTGGTCACAATAACAACGTATTTGATTTGGAAAAAGAAAATGAGAGCTTCATTTATAGATCATAAAGTGCAAATAAATGACACATTTCAAATAGCGCCACATGTAAATGTCAGTAAAATATGGGAAAACATGTTTTGGAAGATTTTTTTCCTAACTAAATATACTTTGCAGTCTGACTAACAATTTGGCATCATACATCTGTGAAACATTAAGTAAATGACACTTCAGATCATGGCAATTTCAGCAAATGAGAGGTTTTTGTATTGTAAATTTTAGGTTTAAAAATGGCATTCAAGTCTTTTATAAGGAAAAATCTCCAGTTTATAAAGTAACATTTAGTGCTATTGAACTATTTTTTAAAATCATAGTTTAAATATAATTCACTTAAAGGAGCAGAAGTGCTATTTCACAGTCATTGAAGTGTTCCAAGACACCTTTTGTTTGAAAGTCCAATTTTTAATAACTCCATTTGTTTGTAATTCAGTAATATACTGTAGATTAAAAATTAACATTTTTCCTTTTTATAAAGCAGTAGTGGTATGAATAGTATATTATGCTTAAGTTTTTTTTTTAAAGAAGAGTCAGTAGGACTTTTAAAAATATTTCTTTATATGGTACCCATGGGTGCTTTGTTACAAAACCTTAGTGGTAGAATTTGTTTTATATGTCAAAATGCTGTGGTTGGGAATTCTTAATTCAGGTGGGTCAGCAAATTCAGAACTGATACCCACACTGGTCAAAGTGTGAGGCTGTTTTCATTCCTCCCCTTCTGATAAACTACCAGGATATAGGAACTCTGATAGATACGCCTTCTTAAATAGTTGATCATAGCATTTACACATTGGGGTTACTGGTGCATTTTAAAATAACAAGTCTATAACCTTATAGGCTGAGGGTAAGTTGTAGAATCCGGACACTGGTCAAATTCACCAGTCTTTTGTTTTTATACTTATATGTCAGATAGTCATTTCCCTTAAAGTTTTAAAAAATCTGATATTAATATTAACTGCAAAGATTTAATTTAGTTATAATTTGGTAAATCTTTTTCCAATCCTTTCCTTTCAAACTTTTGTTTAATATGTGGATTTCGTAAACAAATATTTAGGTTTTCTTTTTAGTCAGCCTTAGAGTCTCTTTGTATTTTAATTGATGAATTTAATTTATATGTATTTAATTATGTATCTGGGTTTATATACATTATCTTATTTTGTTTTTCAAATTTGCTGAGCTTTATTATTTGCTTTTCCTTTCTTTTTCCTATTGGATTGATTTTCTTCATCCCATTTTCCTCAACCAGTTTGTATAGCATGTATTATACTTCTGTTATTTTAGTTGCTGTCCTTAATTTTTTAATATGCATCCCTCACTTAGATTTTTTTAAAGTTAGTAAGTATGTAAACTTGCCTTCTTCTCAGCCTAAGTTTGTTTTTTCCAAGGCTCTCTAAGTAGTTAAAGCACTCATTTTTTTTCCTTAAAAATGGCTTTATTTTGCCCTCATATTTAAATGTTAGTTTAGTTAGGTAGAGAATTGTTTACTAGTAGTTATTTGTTAAAACATGATTCTTTTAGCCTCTGTTGTTGGTAAGAATTCTGTTGTCTACTTGTTCTATATTTTTTCCCCTGTGGGAAAAGCTAAGAGAATGAAGATATATTGCTGGTGTATGAGGAAATGGACAGGCTGCCAGTCAGTAGCTGACCCATGGACATGTATAGAAGGAAAGAAAGAACCTCTACTATGGGAGGTCCCATGGAAAACCATGCCATCTAAGGAAGGCTATTCTTAAGTAACTCAAAGAACAGTGATTTTTAAGAGATTGAAGTCATAGAAGAATTTATTCAGAGTGGACTAAGCATTGCAGAGGTTCTGAGGGAAGGGTAAGGGATAGAAAGACTGATGAGAATGGATGAGTTAGAGTAACAGAATAGTATGTAGAAAGGAGAGGATGGAAAATTGGGAGAAACTTGAATTTTGCTAGTGATTGTTAATAAAAAAGATTAAAGCTGTATGAGAATTAAGACTCTTGAAATTTTTATGTGAAAGTATTATGTAAAGATATTTTAATTCCATCACAGGCTGAAAGCCCGGGCATTATGAGAAAGCTGACAATAAGAACCTTTGACCTTTCTTCAGGATTCTATTTAAATTGTTGGTCAGTGTTCAGGATTACCTTCTTTCCAGATATGTTGAAAAGAGGAGTGAAGGAGAAGGACCTCATTTATTTTAATGCCCCTTCACTTCTCGATGGAAACAAACTACCATGACTCAGGGTATCTGTGCCTCCTTTTCTGGAACCAACAATGCCCTTAAAGATTCCAGCTCTAAAGCAGTCTGCTCCAGGTGACCGGGAGGGAATTTAGCTCAGGCATTCTTCACCTGTTGCTGGAATAGCAGTAGCCCAAGTGGGTTTATGGGACCTCTGTGCATCTTTTTGATGTATAAAACATTTTAGAGCCTACCCTTCTGTTAACGAAATATCTTTCATTTGTTTGTTCATTCTTTCATTCATTTCTTCCAGAAATATGTATTGTGCGTCTGCTAATGCCAGGCACTCTTCTGGGTGCTGGGGATACAATGGTGGACAGATGAGTCTTGTCTTTGTATTTTCACTGTTTAAAATCTAGTAATAAAGTTGCGTAAGTGAACAGATCTGATGGCATACTAAGAACTAGCCTTTCTCTCACTTTTAAAATAAATTATTTAGAGCATGGTCACAAAGTATGTTTCTGTGTTCTTAACAATCTGTCAAAGGGAGAAATGAATACAGTACATTTTATTGATCTTGCCAAATTGTTGCCTGTTAACTTTAACTTCAGAAGTATTCCACAGATGTTAAACAAGTGTTTGTGAGCTATTGCAGCTTACTAGTTAGATGGAATGTTGCATGTCAGAGAGTATTTGGAAGACTGGTTACTTTAGGGAGATGGCTTTAAGAGGGATTATCATAATTCTGCCACAGTTGACAACTTTGGATATGCGCTTCAATAGCAGGACTTAAGATCTTCTGTGATTTATTTAGGAAAAAACTCTTCTGTATGTGGAATCCATGAAGACTGTATCTATGAGGATCAAAACATCATGCTTTGAGTTACTGTTAAGTGTTTTATAGACCTGTGGGACCAGATTAATCAAAAGAATAATAGTGGGTTTTTTTTTTTAATGATTATGTTATAGACATGATAAAATCTTCACTATCAATCTTTTTCCTATAGGTTACCACTTAAATTAGTAATAGCTAATGAAGGCCGTATATCTAGTTAGACTCTGAAGGTCCCCTGTGTATTTGTATTGTTAGATACACAGAGAGACATGATGCATGAGGTTTGACCACAGAGAACTTACAATATGATTAGAGAAATTATAAGCACACATGAAAGGATATCTGATGATATAAGTGTTCAGTAAATGACTAGAGTGGGGAGTATATCTTTGGTTTGTATGAGCAGAATTCATATGAATGAACAGTGAGTCGGGGGCAGAGGGACGTTCCATGGAGGGAAAGGAACAGGGGTGAACACAGGATGATACATTACGTCAGGTGACATTTTAATAGGGAATAATAGAAAAGCAGGTTGGAATTAGTCTGGATGGCTTTGAGAATCAAGCTTAAGAATCTGGACACCATTGGAACAAGGAAGATGTAACCACAGAATTACATCAGGCCAGATACCAGTTTATTCTATTTAATTCTAAATTCGCGACCTTGAGAGTTCCGGCCAAGATGGAGACATAGTTAGATACAGTTTGCCTCCTCACACAACCAGAAGATGGACAACAGTTTTAAAAACAAAAAATTACCAGACTGCCAGAAAATGGAACTGTATGAAAGTCTGACAAAAAAGGCACTAAAAAAGAAACGTTCACCCAGACAGATAGGAGAGGCAGAGACTGGCAGCTGGGTTGGAGAGGATTGGTAGCAACGCAGTGGATGGAGGACCAGGCGGACAAAAGGGTGGCTGATGGTCCAGGATATCCCACATTTCCATGAGGATAAACCGGGAAGAACAGCTGGGGAGTGAGAAAGACTGTGCAACCCAGTGTTCCAGTGCGGGAAAAGAAAGCCTCAAAACCTCTGGAGGTAAGAACCTGTGGGGGTGGCAGGGTGGGAGAAACTCCCAGCCTCACAGGAGAGTTCAGTGGAGAGACTCGCGGGGTCCTGGGACGTACACAAACCCACCCACCCTGGAATCAGCACTAGAAGAGCCCCGTCTGCTTGTGGGTAGTATGGGGTAGTGGCTGAAAGCTGATTGGGAGCCAGGCAAGTGGCACTGTTTGTTCGGACCCCTCCCCCACATACAGCATCACAACGCAGCAAAGTGTGTTGCCCTGCCCTAGCCGATACCTAAGGCTCTGCCCCTTACAACGTAAAAGGCGTGCTGAGACAAAGAAATATGGCCCAAATGAAGGAACAGATCAAAGTTCCAAAAATAGAACTGAGTGACGAACAGATAGCCAACCTATCCGAAGCAGTGTTCAAAACACTGGTAGTCCGGATGCTCACTGAGTTGGTTGAGTAGGGTCACAAAATGGAGGAAAAACTGAAGGCCACGCAAAGTGAAACAAAGCAAAATATACAGGGAACCAACAGTGAAGGGAAGGAAACCGGGACTCAATCAACGATCTGGAGCAGAAGGAAGAGAAAAACATTCACCCAGAACAGAATGAAGAAACAAGAATTCAAAAAAAATGAGGAGAGGCATAGGAACCCCTGGGACAACTTTAAACGTTCCAACATCCGAATCATAGGGGTGCCAGGAGGAGAAAAGGAAGGGCAAGAAATTGAGAATTTATTTGAACAAATAATGAAGGACAACCTCCCCAGTCTGGCCAAGGAAATGGACTTCCAGGAGATCCAGGAAGCTCAGAGAGTCCCAAAGAAGCTGGACCCGAGGAAGCACGCACCAAGGCACATCATAATTACATTGCCCAAGATTAAAGATAAGGAGAGAATCTCAAAAGCAGCAAGAGAAAAGGAGAGTTACCTACAAAGGAGTTCCCATAAGACTGTCAGCTGATTTCTCAAAAGAAACCTTGCAGGCAAGAAGGGGCTGGAAAGGAGTATTCAAGGTCATGAAAGACAAGGACCTACCTCCAAGATTGCTCTCTCCAGCAAAGCTATCCTTTAGAATGGAAGGGCAGATAAAGTGCTTCCCAGACAAGGTCAAGTTAAAGGAGTTCATCATCACCAAGCCCATACTTTATGAAATGTTAAAGGGACTTATCTAAGAGAAAGATAAAAACCTATGAACAGTAAAATGGCAACAAACTCACAGTTATCAACAACTGAGTCTTAACACACACACACACACACACACACACACACACACACACACACACAGAGCAAACCACTAGAACAGGAACAGAATCACAGAAATGAAGATCCCATGGAGGGTTATCAGGGGAGAGGGGGGATTGGGGGAAAGGTACAGGAAATAAGCAGCATAAATAGTAGGTACAAAATAGGCAAGGGAAGGTTAAGAAGAGTATAGGAAATGGAGAAGCCAAAGAACTTAGATGTATGACTCCTGGACATGAACTAAAGGGGGCAGGCAATGCTGGTGGGACAGAGGGTGCAAAGTGGAGGGGAATAAAGGGAAGGGGAAAAAGGCAACAACTGTAATAGCATAATCAATAAAATATATATTAAAAAATAAATGAATAAATTCTCAACCTTGAACCTATTTCAATAAGGGACACATTTTGAAAGATATTTTAAGTATAATTTCTGTATGTTCCTTTTTTCATCCCAGGGTTTTGTTTTGCAGGGATTTTTTTCCCCACAAAAATAAAGTTATGGCAAGCAACTCTTGACTATTGTTCTAACATAAGCTATAGTCAGTGTTAATTTAAAATGTATTCTGACACAGTGGGAAAAGTGCTAAACATTAAGTGACTTAGTATACTATGTTTGCAACATGGATACAAGACAAAGTACACAAATGCATAAGAGATTTCTTGGGGCTAGAATATCTAGACTGGTAAAACTTCAAAAACATTGTCTTTTGTATGCATTATCTTTCATATGCAATTTTCAACATACATTTTTCTTTTTGTGACAGTAATTAGAATTATTAAGACACTTCAAGAATTAAAGTTTCTCTACCTGTTCTTTTTAATGGTTAGCAAAAAAAGCCTCCAAATTTCGTGACTGGCTGGACTGCAGCAGTATGGAGATCAAACCCAATGTCATTGCTATGGAAATCTTAGCATATTTAGCGTATGAAACTGTGGCACAGGTAAGAATTCTAATCTGTCATATCAGTCCTTACATGGCTGCTTTTTCCTTACCTCTGTCCATGATCAATTCTTACACCACCTGCTTTGCTAACAGGAATGAGAACAGCCATCAGTTTTCTCTTTTGACAATCTTGCAGTTTTCTGAGATTTAGTTCAATTATGTTTCTTTGCATCCTCAGCTCTGGTGGGTTTTAGGGTAAAAGTGACTTTTCTTGCAATTCTTCTAATCAGAAATGAAACCCTACATACTTTTTCTCAACATTGAATTCTAACTACACATCTACCTTGTTTAGAGATTTTTGATCTCCTAATAATACTTTTCTAGATACGTTCGATCTACTTGAGTGGACACAAAAGTCTGAGTCTAGAATCCATGCCCTCTAACAGTTTCTCAAAGCGTGGTCCTTAGACCACAAGCATCAACATCTTGGTTCTCATTTAAAATGTAAATCCCTACTTTACATCCCAGAGCAGACCTACTAAATTAGAATATTAGGGTTTGGAGCCCAGAAATTTGTATTTTAAAATGATTCTTTAGTGATTTTGAAATAAGGTTTGAGAACAACTCCGCTGGAAGATCATAATATATCATTTCTTTTCATGGGTCAGCCTGTTTCCCAGTCAATGAAAACATATGCTCTTGTCCACAATACAGATTTTTAGGCAGACAGTATTATCAATAACATTTGGAATGTATTGCTTTTAGTTTTGCCACTTCAATGGCATAGATGATTATTTCCAGCTATTCATTTCCAGCTATTCCAGTGACTGTATTTTCATTGCTCTGATCTTCTAGTTAGTGGATCTGGCGCTTCTTGTGAGGCAGGACATGGCAACCAAGGCAGGCGACCCATTCAGCCATGCCATTTCGGCAGCCTTCATTCAGTATCACAGCTCTGCTGAGGTAAGTATCAAAAAGCCTGACACATCTGTGGATTTTTTTCTCATGTCCAGTATTTATATTTGTAGTTCTCTGGAAAAGATGGCATAGGAATTTACCATATTTTTGCTGTGTATAATGTACACTATTTTGCCCAAGTTTGGGTGGAAAAATAAGGATGCACATTATACATGGGTATAATGATCCCATGTATAATGTGCAAAAAAAAAACCAAAACCGCAGGTGTGCATTATACACCGCCATATATGGTATGGTCTTTAGCCAAAGAATCTTAATACAGTCAACATTCAAATATTTACTGAGAACCTACTATGTGCCTGACCCTAACAATCCACTTAATAAAATAAATTTTTTTCATCTTTTCTTTGCTTTATTCAGCTTTTCTAGTCTTTCAATGAAAAGGACAGTTCTCATTTCCATGGGAGATGAACAACTGGTTTTGGTAATTGAATAACATTGAGAAAAGTTATTTCCTTGTGCCTCAAAGATGAGAGGATTATTATTCATGTAATAATAATCCCTGATATTTGTTGATAATTTTACATTCTAGTTATTGATCTATCTATAAACGTGATTTAAAGAAGCATGGATCTATTTATCCTTTGTGGAGATTGGCCCTATCATCTAAAGACCACATGTCTTTTGATCCAGTTCATATTGCTGCGATCCCCACCTATGGGAACTATAGAATCTTCTTGCCAACTTTAAGGCCTTACAAAATTTCAGTATAAAAAATATTCTCTGTAAACAGCATGTACTTAAAAACCAGAAATGCACTATCATCTATTGAATTAATTTGCCTGTGTTAGACCTTTCACTAACAAACAGTTTCATAAAATTCAATCTAATATCATAGAGAAGGCAACAGGGAGGTTAGGTTAATAGCTACATGTAAAATTGTGAAGATCAAGTTGGGTGAATCATATAACCTAAAAATAGACAAGCCCCTTTGAAAATTTGATGGAAACTATAAACCCTTTCCCTATAAACACATTTGCAAATTTTGCATACAATTTCAGGGTATTCCAAGACCCTCTGAAACCATTCTGGGTATTAAGGGATCTGTTCAAAGGGAAACCCTGTGGACTCCAAGTTTAAGGTAACTCTGCTCCAGGATACTCAGTAAATCTGTAAAGATACATGTCTATATAGCATGTTATTACAAGCCAAAAATGTGATGTGTTTTTATGCCCCTTAAAGAATCAGATTGGCTTGGAATCCAAATAGGAATTAAAATGTTTATGCCTATTAAAAATCCATTTTTTTCTTGGAAAAGGTCATATATCATTATCAGTCAACATACTTTATAAGTCCCTAAAGATTGCCCAGTTGATTAAACAATATTTGTTTATGTTATGAACCAAACTATGATGTCAGAGAACACCCCTTAAAATGTCTTTGGTACATATTCACTTTATGAATATATGTATAAGTATGCTTTTCATTGACATCAGACAAATTTGTTGTAACATTTCTAATTGAAGAAAGGTAAGTGAACATAACAAGCTTAGTTTTCTCTTAACATTCAAGGGATTGCTTGCATGGCTAGGAAAACTCTTTATTTCACTCCCCCCTTTCTTGGCTCTCTAGGGTGGCCAAGCTGCCCTGGGCAACTGCTCAGCAACCACAGCCACTGTTCCCAGCTACCCAGCAGTTAAGAAAAGTGGTCTGTCTATGTATGCCGGGTTTCCTGGGCTCTCTGGGAGGTGGGAGCATGAGTGTCAGAAAGCATCCTGACTAAATATGTTAGCACAAGCCTCAAGCTATTCCCTAGCCTGCCAGACACCACTCCTCCTATGTGACTGGTAGTCAAAATGAACATTCAGAAGGACTGGAAGTGTTCCTGCCCTTTATTACCTGCTAAACACAAAGAGAATGGCCATTCTAAAATAGGAGTCTTACTCATCCCCATTACAAATCAGCAACCAACATCAAGGGCCTGATGTAAGGACTTTACCAACTTGAGTGCAAAGGGGAACTCTGGAGACTGATATGATCTCTATTCAGGGAGGTAAAACAAACAAGGAAATAAATGAGCAAGCAAGCAAGCAAACAGTTCAAAATAGCATTTACTAATTTCCAAATGAGTGGCATAGACAGAGTGCCAAGGTAAAAAATACTTCCTAATTATAATCAAAGAAGACTTCAAAGACGAAGCTGGGTGTTGAAGGAAAGATAGGACTTTGATGAGACAGCAAAAGTGAGGAGAATACTCTGGGCCTCAGAGGCACCATCAGTATAATTGTACAAGGAAAAAAACTAATTAAAATATTCAAGCAAAGGATTCACTGAAGACAGGTAGCAGAAAGTTAAATTAGAAAATTAAAGCCTTAAATACTTACTAAGGAAGTGTCGAAGCTTTCTTGGCTAAAGGGTAATGAGTTCAAACAGGTGTTTTAAGAAGATCCAAGTGGAGGTGCTATGTACAATGGATTGGAGTTGGAAGCTTAAGGCATGGAGTTAATACAAAATGCATTCTATTTTTATGATTATCATTTCTGAGCATTACATATGTAAAGAAGTGATCTAGTTAAGCTTGGGCTCTCATATTAAATTAGCAAATTTAATATTAATTCAAGCTAATATTCTAGATTTTTTCCCTAACATATGATTTATGTACAGGAAGCAATGATCTCTAGGAGCTGTCTTGTTTTTCCTAAGGACAACTCATGCTAGATTAGCTTTTTCCTTCCTGTTTGATAATGTTTCCATGCATCTAGAGCAAAGAATTACTCCTGAAATCAGTATCTGAATTTCAGCAAAACATTTTACAAAGTTTGGCATAATTTTTTTTTAATTATGGAGAAGTGTAGGCCAGTAGATAGTATGGTTAGTATGGTTGATAAGATGACATAGGTTATTAGTACTGTTATGTGAAAAAGAGAGACTTTTATTTGCCTGTAAATTTCTTGAGTGCCAATATTGTGGTGTTACAATAAAGAAACTTCTTTGTTCGGCTTCAGTGGTCAGGCATTATCTTATAGGATGGATGTGGATGCAATGGAGAATGTCTAAAGGAAAGTGAAGGTGGGGTGCAAGGGAAGGCATCTGAAAACATGTATCAGTGGTTGAAGGAACTGAGGTGTTTGACTTGTAGAAAATGCTATTAAATACAACAGTCTTCAAATATTTGAAGTGTTTCCTCATGGAAAAGAGAATAGACTTACAGTCATAAGCAAAGAAACCAGATAGATATGAGGGATTTTATGAAGGAAGGAAGGCATTACATGTGAGAGGAGCTAGAGGTATCTACAATGATCCTAAGACAATTGGTTTTTTGTTACCGGGAGAAGTCTGGTTCATCATGGATACAAAAAAAAATGTCTGGGAGCGTCCAATCTAGAGGTACCATTTAGAGGTTCTTTTTGAAACATGTAAGTTTGAAATGCTAACAAAACTTCTGAATAGAAATGTCTGTATCTGACAAAATCTACATAAATTTTGAAAGCTGTAGCTGAGGACTGCTGATTATATCTATATGATTAGATTAAAATTAACATATTTAGACCATTAGCGGCAAGATGGGGCATCATTTCTGTCAATGGGATAATAATAAATTGTTTTTATATTTGTAAGCTTCAAATAGTAGTATATTCATGAGATACTAAGTAAAATCAAAGGTTAGTAGAAGTTCTGGTCACATGATTTCAAAGCCCTGTCTCTTTGGGCAGGGATCTTGCATAAAGTCTTACCCAGACTCTCCTGAGAATACCCCCCCTCCTACACCAACTGCTCCATCATCTGGATCACAGCACTCAGGGAAAACCACATCAGCATCCCTAGGGAATGGGAATGTTGGACAAGACTCAGCTAAAACCAAGCAAAGGAAAAGAAAAAAGGTCAGTGATTTTTTTTCTTTTCTTTCTCTCTCTTTTGGAGTAAAGAAAGTCTTGTTCTGTTCTTTTTAGAGATGGGAAAATGTACTCTGTTTTTCTCATAATTCAAACTTGTAGAAGCAGCCAGTTTTTACTTAACCATACTCAATAACTTTTACTCAAACTTTAACAGCTTTCTTATGAATAAAGGAAGATACTGAATTTTTTAAGATTATATTTTTAAAATTTCAAACATAAAAGTTAAAAGACTTGTAGAATGAACACTGTATGTCTACCATCTAGATTCTACAATTAACATTTTGCTATATGTATTATGTTAACTGTATATTTACATTTACTGTATCTATGCATCATATTGTTTCTTTATCCATCAGTTTAATTTTTTTTTTTTGATACATTGCAAAGAAAGCTGCAGACATCAGTGTACTTCATGCCTAAACGCTTCATTATGTATAATTTGTTTGTGGTTTCTTTTAAGGTAAAATGTATACTACACAGTGAACCTTTCAGTCCTTAAGTATACCACTTGATGAATTTTGACAAATATATAAACCTATTGTTTTCTAAACCCCTCTCAGTTCAGAAAGTTTTTTCACGCCTTCTCCCAGTGGGTTTTATCACCTTTCTTAGAAAGATGTTCTTATTTTTTTCCATCATAGATAAATTGTTTCTGTTGTAGAACTTCACTCGAGATATTTTTGAAATTTATGTTTTTAGTAGAAAAGGTAATATATTTATCTTTATTGCCAAGTAATGTTCCCTTATATGAATATGCCAGTTTATTCCTTCTCATTTTGGTGGACACCTCAGCTGATTCCAGTTTTTGAGATATGAATAAATATCTTATAAGCATTATCGTACAAGTCTTCATGGGAAAATGCTTTCGATTCTCTTAGGTAAATAGCTTAGAATGAAATTATTGGGTCATAGAGTAGTTATGTGTTTGGTTTTAAAGAGACTGCAAGACTTTTTTTCCAAAATGGTTCTATCATTTTTACTTCCACCAGCAATGTATGAGAGTTTCAGTACCTCCATGTTCTCATCAGCATTGGGTGTTGTCATTGTTTTTACTTTTAACCATTCCAATGGATATTTAATAGTAAGTCATTATAGTTTGAGTTTGCATTTCCCAGGTGACTAATGATGTGGAGCAATTTTTTTTCCATGTATTGATGGCTATTCATATATCTTCTTCAGGGAAGAGTTTCTTCAAATCCTTTACACAGTATTTTTGAGGATGGGTTGGTTGTCTTTTACTACTAACTTCTAGGAGTTTTTTTATGTATCCTGTGTAACAATCCTATGTCAGGTAAATGTTTTTCCAATATTTTCTCCCAGTCTGTAGCTTAATGGTGTTTTCTTTTTAATCAACTTGAATATAGTCTTTTTAAAAATATACTTTACTGATTATGATATTACAGTTCCATTTTTTCCTCCCCTTTATCACTCCCCCCACCATGTACCTCCCCTCCCACCAACATCCCCCACCTTAGTCCATGTCCATGGGTTGTACATATAAGTTCTTTGGCTTCTCCATTTCCTACAATGTCTTTAACCTCCCCTGTCTACGTTGTGCCTACCAGTTATGCTTCTCATCCCTGTACCTATTTTCCCCCCTGTCTCTCCCTAGTAATTCTCCATGCGATCTCCATTTCTGTGATTCTGTTCCTGTTCTAGTGGTTTGCTTGGTTTGTTTTTGCATTTTTAGGTCCAGTTGTTGATACTTGTAGTTTGTTGTCATTTTACTGTTCATAGATTTTATCTTTCTCTTAGATAAGTCCCTTTAACATTTCATATAGTATGGGCTTGGTGATGATGAACTCCTTTAACTTGACCTTGTCTGGGAAGCACTTTATCTGCCCTTCCATTCTAAAGGATAGCTTTGCTGGAGAGAGCAATCTTGGAGGTAGGTCCTTGTCTTTCATGACCTTGAATACTCCTTTCCAGCCCCTTCTTGCCTGCAAGGTTTCTTTTGAGAAATCGGCTGACAGTCTTATGGGAACTCCTTTGTAGGTAACTGTCTCCTTTTCTCTTGCTGCTTTTGAGATTCTCTCCTTATTTTTAATCTTGGGCAATGTAATTATGATGTGCCTTGGTGCGTGCTTCCTCGGGTCCAGCTTCTTTGGGACTCTCTGAGCTTCCTGGATCTCCTGGAAGTCCATTTCCTTGGCCAGACTGGGGAGGTTGTCCTTCATTATTTGTTCAAATAAATTCTCAATTTCTTGCCCTTCCTTTTCTCCTCCTGGCACCCCTATGATTCGGATGTTGGAACGTTTAAAGTTGTCCCAGGGGTTCCTATGCCTCTCCTCATTTTTTTTGAATTCTTGTTTCTTCATTCTGTTCTGGGTGAATGTTTTTCTCTTCCTTCTGCTCCAGATCGTTGATTGAGTCCCGGTTTCCTTTCCTTCACTGTTGGTTCCCTGTATATTTTGCTTTATTTCACTTTGTATATAGCCTTTCTTCTTTCATTTTATGACTGAACCCAATCATTTCTGTGAGCATCCGGATTACCAGTGTTTTGAACTCTGCGTCTGATAGATGGACTATCTCCTCGTCACTTAGTTCTTTTTCTGGAGCTTTGATCTTTTCTCTCATTTGGGCCATATTTTTTTGTCTCGGTGCACCTGTTACAATGTAAGGGGCGGAGCGCTAGGTATTTTCTGGGGCTGAGCAACATACTTTGCTGCATTGTGGAGCTGTGTGTGAGGGGGGGTCACAGAGGGAACAATGCTGCTTGCTCAGCTCTCACCCCACTTTCAATCACTTCCCCCGCTACCCACAAGCAAATTGGGCCCTTCTAGTGCTGATTCCCAAGTGGGAGGACTTGTGTACTTTCTAGGACCTCATTAGTCTTTCCAACCAACTCTTCTGTGAGACTGGGTGTTTCGTCTGCTGCTGCAACCCCCACAGGTTATTACAGCCAGAGGTTTTGAGGCATTAGTTTCCTGCGCTAGAACCCTGGGTTGCACAGTATGTCCCACACCCCAGTTGTTCCTCCTGGCTTATCCACACGTGAATGTAGGATATCCTTGTACACCAGCCACCACTTCGTCCTCCTGGTCAGCCAGCTGCCACCTTGTCACATGTCCTCAACACGCAGGGTTCCCATTTCTGCCCTTCCAGCAGTCTGGATGAATGTTTCTTCTTTAATTCTTTGGTTGTTGGACTTCCATACAGTTCATTTTCTGGCAGTTCTGGTTGTTTTTTGTTTTTAAATTGTTCATTATCCTTTTGGTGGTGTGAGTAAGCGAAGCATAGCTACCTATGCCTCCATATTGGCTGGAACTCCTCACTGGTGTGTTTTGATCAGCACAAGTTTTGAATCACTGAAGTCTGATTTATCCAATTTTTTCTTTTATGTGTATTGCTTTCTGTGTCCTGTCTAAGAAATCTTTGGCTACTCCCAAGCCATGATGATATTCTCCTGTGTTTTCTTCTGCAAGATTTATAGCTTAACTTCTCTATTTTGTTCTATTAATCAAAGTCAGATTAACTCTCATGTATTATATGAATTGAGGCCAAGTTCACTTTTTCACATATGGATATCTAGTTATGGCAGAACCATTTGTTAAAGACTGTTTTTTCCCATTGAATTGCTTTGGTGGCTTTGTTGATAATCAAATGACCATCCATATATGTCAGTTTACTTCTGCAATTTCAATTTTGTTTCATTGACTATTTTTCAGTCCTTTTGTCAGTATCATCTGTCTTTATTATTGTAGCTGTATAATAAGTTTTAAAGTCAGGTAGTGTAAGTCCTCAAACTTCATTTTTCAGGTTTAATAGGGATTTTCTTTGTTCCTTGCATGTATGTAAATTTAGAATCAACTTGTTAATTTCTATCAAAAAAGAATGAGGAGGGGGAGAGTGAGAGAGAGAGGAAGGCAGCAAAGGAAAAAAGAAAGGAAAGCATAGTAGGATTTTGAAAAGGATAATATTGAATGCTTATATCAATTTAAGGATATGAATGTCTTAGCATTACCAAGTATTATAATCCATGAACATGGCATATCTCTGCACTTACTTATATTTATAAAATCTCTCTTTTTATCACTGGGAATACTATTTATCCTGAACTGTATTTTATTAATATAGCCATTGTAGCCTCCTTGTGCTATTTATATGATACATGTTTTTCTATTTTCTTTCATTATACCTGTATCTTAATATTTAAAGTGCATCTCTTGAGGACAACGAATAATTGGGTCTTGCTTCTTTACTTTCTTTCTGTGTGTATCTTTTAATTATAGTCTTTAGGTCTGTGATATTTAATGTTATTTGTTGAATTGGTTGGATATAGGTCTACTGTTTTGCTCTGTTTTCTGCTTGTTCTATTTTTGTTCCTCTCTTTTTTCCCCTGCCTTCTTCTGGGTTAATTATGTGCTCTTTTAGAAAACCGTTTTATCTCCTGGTGTCTCAGTGATGTCTCTTTCCATTATTTTATTTTTAGTGGTTATGCTAAGAATTACAATATGCGTCCTTAAATTTTCAGTGTACTTAGTTGTTATTGTGCTACATTACTCATATTAAATACAAGACTATTATATTTGTATAGCTCCATTTATTTCACTCCTGCTCTTCATGTCGTCCAACATCTTACATCTACATATGTTATAACACATGATACTATTCTTTGCCTTAAACAATCAAACGTATTTCATTGACACTAACAGAAAAAATAGACTCTAACATCTACCATTTCCATTGTTTTTCATTCCCTTTGGATTATCAGAATTCTGGTATCATTTTTCTTTTCCTGCTAGATTTTATTTAGCATATGTAATAGTGCAGGTTGGCTGGTGATGGTTTCTGTTAGTTTTCATATGTCTGAAAATATCTTTACTTCCCCCTTATTCCTGGAAAATGTTCTCACTGGATATAGAATTTTGGATTGGTAGTTTTATTTTTAGTACTTGAATGATATCTTTTCACTATTTTCTGGCACTTGTTGTTTAATCATATGTCTGTAGATTTTGTACTATTGTTTCTGTTTATGTAACATG